GTCTGCTACATTGTTAGTAAAAGTTTTCTTCTAAGAATGGCTTTTTAAATGATCAAGCAACATTGCAAGAAAAGCAGGCAGAAAGGGAGGCCCACGTATGTGCTATACCCGTGGGTAAAGGCATTGTCTGTGTTTTGCACATGGCCTTTATGGCCTCAAGCAAATTCTCCATGTAAGTTTAAGTATTTGATTGAACCTTTACCCAAGGGCCAGATTGGTACATATTGAGGGTAGAAAAGAAGATTTCCAGACTCCTTTGAAGACCGGGCATCAGTCAGACAAGATAGAGATGCATATGTACCAATGCTACCAATGCGAAAGCATTAATATTGTCTTATTTTAAGGCAAAATTTTTCAATTTCATGCCTTAGCTCAGTCAGCTGATTCTATTCTATTCTATTATATTATATTCTATTATATTCTATTCCTCTTATGTTTGAGTGCTCTGTGACAGGAACTTCTCTTTGCAATTTGGTCAGTGCCAAAACATAAATTTTAGGACTTCGTATTTGTGCATTTTGTCATAAATAACAGTCATTTCAGACACTGCAGTTTTTATTTTTTTGACTGGGCTTTCTGGCCTCTTAGCACCTGTGAACCATTGCTTCAGTTCCCACTCTAGCCCAAATGAATTTCAGATGGAATTGCTTTGATGGGAATTACTATCACCATAAATTGGTCACTGCTATTTTTACCTAACAGCATCCTTGATTAATGCTGGGTAGGTTGGATATAGGTCATTGGACAGCCCATCCTACAGATGCCGTGCCTCTTCAGACTTTAAATTTAAAGGGCATTTAGTAATGTTTTTGTTTCCTTTTAAAGAACACTTGAGCTCTGGTATCATTACAGGGTTTCTGTGGGACATTGAAAAGCATTAAATATCATTAAATGATTTTTGTGAAAATTAAGGCCTCAAAAGGTATTAAAAGTCATTACATTTTATTCCTACAGGCATTACATTTTTTAGGTGGTTTTGAATTAAAATAATATTACGAGTTTATTTTAGTTGAGCAGTTGAGCAAGGATGAATTCTGTAATAAAATTCTGATTTTATTACAATCAGTGTAAGTGACGATCGATAATGAATAATGTACTGACAGTAACAAGGTCGCACCAGTTGAGGCTCGTGCAGCCTGTCTGTGTAAGAGAGATGCTCGTGGAGAAATCACAACAAATGAGCACAACTGCACAGACAAAGAAACTCACAGAAGAAACATACTGTGGTAAAAATTGAGTTTTCACATTTAAAACATATGATAAAGCCTAGTTAAGCAACATGAGACGACGAAGAGAGTGCTGGTTCCCGAATATCAGCACGATTGCAGATTTGACATTACATTTTTTTTCATTCAATAAATGGGTAGTTAATATTAAGTGACTCAATTTAAAAAAAAAATAAAATACATTTTAAAACAGTTCCAAAAAAAGATCCCAGCAGAACAGTTGTGCATCTCAGATTATTCAGAATGTCTGGCATTCTACATCTATTGGTACTTTGTTATATCAATTTTGAAATATCTGCAAATATATTTTGACATTTTAAGCTGCTACATTTTAAGTCTGCTGATCTATTTCTAATTCAGTTTAGAGTGATACAGTTTATTTAAATTATGTAGATCTTTTAAATATCCAAGATTATCATCATTGCATCATTGTCAAATTGAATGGTTAATTTAAAACAGGGGTGTCAAACTCAATTCCTGGAGGGCCAGAGCACTGCAGAGTTTAGATTCAACTCTAATTAAACACACCTGATCCAACTAATCAAGTTGTTCTGGCTTATTTGAAAACGACATGGTATGTGTGTTGGAGCAGGGTTGGAACAAAACTCTGCAGGGCTCTGGCTCTCCAGGAATTGAGTTTGACACCCCTGATTTAAAACATATAGGCCTGGTTTCACAGACAGGGCTTAGGTTAAGCCAGAATTAAGCCATAGTTCAATTAGGACATTTAAGTAGCTTTTATGAATGTGCCTTAGATAAAAACACTACTGATGTGCATCTTGAGATAAATGCCACTGTCAGATTTTAAGATCAGTCAGTGCAAGTTTCTTTCAGATAAAGGGGTCCTAGTATGCTCTTTTACAAAGTCTTGATTTTGTTTTGGGGGTGTACTAGAACAGGCTCTCATACTAGGTAGTTCGAAAACCACATTATTTTTCACATTTTTCATTATTACAGCACCTCTCTCCCCAGTCTGGCATGAAAGGCTTGAATAGTTCCTGTATCAAATGAAGGCCCGCCTTCTGAAATACAAAATGTGCTGTGATTGGTTAGCTGGGCCAGTGTGTGTTGTGATTGGCAGCACTCGGCGCCTGGTCGGGAAATGTCATGCCCCTTACCAGAGCGTCCTGCGAGCCTCAGTGTAAATATTGCGTCAAAATCAAATCAATTTGAGCGCGATTTAAACCCGGATGATTGTACCCCCTCTAAGTTCGTCTGCTTTGGGAAAGCTAGCGTGTCTCCGACATAGTGATAACACTCGTTGCCTTCTCTAGTGCAGCTCAACCAGGTTTCATCCCATTCGTCGATATTTGTGATATCACAAATCCCGGAAAATATGCGTTGAAATCCAAACGAGTCGTTCGTTGTAGTTTTTGAAAAGTTATTTCTGGACTTTGAGCTTTGTAACTTTTGCAGATCTTTTTTATGCTCAAACAGCAACATTACAGACTAACTAAAGTTGAAAAAGTGAAAAAGCAGAATAGGACCCCTTTAAAACAGCCCAGACATGCATTTTAGTCTGGGATTAGGCTTAAGCCTTGTCTGTGAAACCGGGGAATAAATGGTCAAAAGTTTAGATTTTTTAAGATTTCTTTATGTTTTTGAAAGAAGTTTCTTCTGCTTACCAAGGCTGCATTTATTTGATCAAAAATACAATAAAAACAGTAATATTGTGAAATATTATTTCAGTTTATAATAATTGTTTTTTGTGAATATATTTTAAAATGTAAATTAATCCTGTGATTGAAATCTGAATTTTCAGCATCATTGCTCTGGTTGTCATATTTTTCTATGGAAATTAAGTTGATCAAACGTGCCAGTAAAGACATTTTATAATGTTGCAACTGCAAAAGATTTTATTTCAAATAAATGCTGTTCTTTTGAACTTTCTATTCGTCAAAGAATCCAGAAAATTTAAATGTATCACAGTTTGCACAAAAATATGAAGCAGTAATATGTGTTCAATATTGATGATAATAATAAGAACCTTTATTAATAATTGAGCACCAACAATAATTGATCATTACAGAGCAGCAAATCAGCATATTAGAATAATTTCTGAAGGATCTTGTGACACTGAAGACTGGAGTAATGATGCTGAAAATTTAGCTTTGATAACAGCAATACATTTCATTTAAAAAAATATTAAAATAGAAAACAGTAATTTTAAATTTAAATAATATTTCTCAATATTAATATTACTGCAGCCTTGGTGAGCAGAAGAGACTTGTTTAAAAAACATAAAAAAAAAATATATATATATATATTCGGGTTGTGTATGGTATTAAAAAAATAAAAAAAATGGCATTAAAAAGACATTTAAAAAAGCATTAAATTAGATTTGATGATACCTGCAGAAACCCTGCATTAAGTGTCGTCTTAATGTCTCTTTCCATTGAATGGTTCATTTGATGGTCAAATAAAATCAGGTTGCTGATGTTACTTATTATGAATACTATAGTTGAATTTAATTCTCAAAATTTAATACGCATCCCATGCGATTTACAAACTAAGAAAATGTAAAGGATAAATGCCAGTTGTGTACCTTTCTCAGGCTCATGCTGCTCTAATTGGTGGCCATAGCCAGACAAATAAACTCATTTCCAGCAAGTTGCTACCCACCATTCACAGCCTGTCTGAGAGTGCCAAGAAGTACCATTCAGCAACCAAATAAACAGAGCAGTGGCTGAGCTCATTTGCATTGTCCAAATACCAATATATACAGTGGAAAGATTTGTATTGAAGCAACTGCTACAGAATCTCAATAGCTTTTTCGTGAACACTGAAAAGCCAAAAACGTACAGAGAAACTATAAATATTAAAAGCAGAACTTGAAGGGACTTGATATTATGCTTGTAGAACAGATGTCAAGCCAAGGCCAGCAGAACAATGCAGTCCTACATAGCTGTATCTGCTCAGTTGATAACAAAGAATTGACAGATGCAGTCAGGGTGCCTGGGTGATGCAGAACGTAATAGTGACTGACCACACAGCGGAGAGCCTGAGGGAGGCCTTTAATGAGATGTGATGTATACGGCAATGAGACCCCATATGCCAGATGCCACATGGCTTTTCTGACATAGTAAACTTTCTCTGTAGCTCACCTGGTACAGCATTGCACTTGTGATGTGGAGTGCTCTGATACGAGTCCTGAAACACAAGTCACGATAAAAGAGATCAATTACTGGTAGAAGCAAGCAAAAATGGCTTGGTTGCATCAGTGAAATTTTCAAGATTGCTTTTGTTAACATTGTCAGTTAGGTTTATGGTAGGGTGTAGTATAGGCGATAAGATATTGTAAACCACGATAGAGCATTAACCTTATAGCACCACTCATTGGACATTTCATTTCCCAACTGCCGCTATACAGTACGTACAAAAAGCTATGTAATAAAATATTGCCAAATTCACGTTTGTCTGTTCTTGATTAAACTGACACATTTCACATCAGCACCTGGTGGCGGTCTGGAGATATGTGATGGTTTTCAACTTAAAAGGTGAACGTTTTGAGTTTTACTTAGTAGAATATTTTAGTTAGTAGGTGGTTTAATTTTGAATTGAGAACAGCAGTTACATCTGTGAGGGTCAGACATTTGTGTATTATGTTGAAGTTCTTTATAAAGATAACAGCCAATTGGCGAGTAACTGTTAAATGTGCACACGGCACATTTGGTCCTGGTTTGATAAAAGGACTTTTTAAGTTGAAAGCCTTTAACTGTACTCATTCTGTCTCGCTTTACTGACAGACAATCTGGCTTTTGTTTGTGACATTTAGACATCATTCTATAGGAGGTATCTGTTGCTCAAGATGGCGGCTGGTCTGGTTTAATCGAGGACGGGTCAGGTAATTCTCACTGATGCTATCATATGTCATTACCAAAAGCCTTTGCCACATTCTGGGCTTTTGATCTATCTCTTTCACCCTTGCTTCAGTCTCCACCTCTATTTTCTCTTACACTGTATGCTGGTCCCAAGAGAGCTCAGTTTAAGTTGGTCAGACTGGGCTGGTGGGCCTCTAGGTTGAGGTTAATGAATAGGTGAAGTGAAAAGTCCCTGCTGTGTTATTGTGGCCCTCCCTGCTCTGGTAAGGAGATTTTCCCCCTCTGTTGGGGTTAATGGCTAGGGTGAGATATCATGTCATATATCAAAATACACAATAATTCATATGGTCATCATAGAAGAGGTATGTATATATATATATATATATGTCATTTTACAGTATGTATGTATGTATAAATAGCATTTTTAATGTCTCTTTTTTATGTCATGTCATTGACCCACAGGCAATGTGTGAAGTCCAACATGGTCAAGGTTTAGGGCTTACTCCAGAGAGCTGTAGCTAGTTATTGGCTCAGGGGACCTGTAAAGCAAGACTTGTGGAGTCTTATGGCCCTCATAACTGTGCTCATATGTTAGCTTTTCTTTGCTCCCTCACCCTCTTTTTTTCCATCACACATCTCGCTGAAGTGGCTTTAACCTCCTGCTTAAAAACAAAGACGTTTTGTGAGTGTGTTCCACAGACCGTCACCGTTTTTCTTTTGTACTCTCACTGGTGTCGATTCTGCTCTGGACAAAGGCTCCTCACTGGTGTGGGATGGCACACAGGCCGCCACTCGGTGTTACTGGCACAGCAAACAGCTTGGGAGATGCGGGCAGAGCCTGATATCAGTGTTTTACTTGACCATATAGTACACGGTGTACACACATGACTGAAGCCAGATCTGTGTCATCAACATTCCTTGTGTATTATTTATTTTATTTTAAATTTTTTTTGTAGTAATCTTTTCTAATCTTTAAAAACATAAATAATTTAATAACACTGTTGAATGCAATCTTTAGTGAATGCCAAAATCAACAACCACTCCCCCCCCCCCCCCCCCAACTTCACTATTAAAAAATTATGGTTAAACAGAAATTTTCTGCCATATGGACATAAACTTCAGGTCACCACCAATAAGCTATTACTAAATATAATGTAAAAACTTTAATTTTCTGTAAAGCTGCTTTGCAATGATTTGCATTGTGAAAAAGCGCTATACAAATAAACTTGAATTGAATTGAATTGAAAGTGTTGGTAATTAAATCTGGTAATTCCCATACACCCCCCCCCCCCCCCCCCCCAAATTTTACATTATAATGATGTGATGGCTAAATGCACTTTTAGCACTTAAAATTACTCATTTAAAATGACTCAGAGTGAGTACTCGTGTTATTTTTTAGATGAAATTTAAAATAATAATAATAACCACATATCAGACATGGCACGTATCAACTTACAGTGTTGTGAAAAAGTGTTGGCAGACAAACATGCAAAAAAATAAGAAATCAGGAAGGGGGCCAACACTTTTTCACACCACTGTATATACTTATCAGCTTATCGCAATTGGCCAGAATTGTAATACTGCTGCATTCCTAACAACTTATTTAGTTGTGCTACAAAATAAAATATATGTATTATATAAAATAAATATACATATTATATAAAGTATTACTTTTAAAAGTAATGCTACCCACCCAACCATTGGAAGGACCCTATTAAATCATGCCAGCTTAATAGAGACATTAATCATGTTGTAAATCACCGTTTGTGGAACTGAGCTTTTTGTAGAACACACAGAGAGAAAATGTGTCTTTGAAAGACTGACAGCTTTTCAGAGCACAGCGTTTCTTTCTATAGGCCGAGAGAGACCTGAAGAATCTTCTGCATTCTAGTCCGTGAATGTTAATGAGGTGAGGACCAATTTTTTTTCCTCCTAAGATGTTTGGTTTTGGTAACAAAGCTGGGACGGGGTGCATTTCCCTTGTATTTGTCACCCTCTTTCTCTGTCACTCATGCTCTGGGTGTCTTTCGCACATTCTCACTGTGTGCCAGTTCACTGCATGTGACTGAGCTGTCACATGGAGCAGCAGAGAGCAGGCGCATAGACATAAGTATAGTGTGATGTACTGTCCCACTCACATAGATGTACACTCTTTTACAGATAAATGTATGGAGGTGCAAGGAGCCTGTCAATGCAATCAAGATGTATTGTTAGTGGTGTTAAAAAAAGCTCCTGGTGTACTGCAGTTTTAGCCAGTTGGGTGTCACGACTAGCTGTGTGTTTCTGATGGGATTCTGGGTGGTTGGACTGTACATTTTGAAAATAATATGTTGTGACTGGAATAAATTAGTGCTTTTTCTCTGTCCTTATTCGTTATCTTCTCTTTCTGCTTACTTGTTGTGTTTCTATCTGCATATAGTATGGAACACTCTCTGGAAGTGATAGGTAAGAACTTTGGCATGGGAGAATACCTGGTGCCATCTGGTTTCTTGAATTTTTTTTTCAGTCATATTGGAGGATAGTAACAAATCATGTTAAAAGAAGAGATGTTACGTACTAGCCTCCAAGGATGATGATGTCAGCTTTTCAGCTCCAATGAAGCATGCAAGAAACACAAGATTTGTGCTACATCGCTTAACACATCCCAAGAACAAGAGTTAAATGAAGAAGCAAGTAAAATGTCAGATTGGATGGATTAACGCTCATCATTCAGGCATCTAAAGGACAGTCCAAATGACTTAAAGAAATATATCACACAAAAATGAAAATTCTCATGATTTACTCATCATTAATTTGGAATACAAATGATCAAGCATCTATTTTCTATCTGTTTTTTTTAATGATTATATTCAGCAAGGATGCATTAAATTTATCAAAAGTGACCAAAAGTGACAGTAAAGATGCATATAATATGACAAGAGATTTCCAATTCAAATAAATGTTTTTCTTCTGAATTTTGTTTATCAAACATTCCTAAAAAAGTGTCATGATAGTATATTAGTAAGAAATGTTTCTTGAGCAGAATTAGAATGATTTCTGAATGATCATGTGACACTGAAGACTAAAGAAATGGCTTCTAATAAATTCAGCTTTGCTATAACACAAATAAATTACACTTAAATATATTAAAATAGAAAACAGCTATTTTAGATTGCAATAATATCTCACTGTGTTTTTTATCAAATAAATGCTGTCTTGTTGAGACTTCTTTCAGCACCATTTAAAAAACATTTTTCAAACGGTAGTATGTATTGTGCATTCATATATTCATTTGTCATTATTAATTCCTCTTGATTTTATAATATATAGCTGTATCGAAGCGTGATGTTCTGACTTTTGACCCAGGAATATCCTGGAATATATTGCTTTTTATATAGTGTATATATTTATATAGAATGTAGTTGAGAAATATTGTGGTTTTGGCACAATAATGAGAGAGTAATGCTGTTGGCTGTCACACTCCAACCCTGGAATGCAAGCAGTGGGATCTGAATGCCAGTCAGCTCTGAAAAGTGTCCCCATGACTGAACCTACACACTTGCATTCACACAAATAAGTATCCTATAGTGTTGTGTGCATATGTGTCTGTTTTCCATGGAACAGTCAACAGATACTCCCTCGGGAGTTCTGTTGAATCATCTAGTGCACGTATGTTTACAGTATGTGCTGGTTTGCGTGTAAGAGTGTTCATTTGTTTTCATGGACCCTACAGATTGAAAATAACAGCAGTGTTTGCAGTGTCAATAGTACTATGGCCTTTAGTTTCCTAATACCACTACTTATCAATTTCAAATCCTGTATCAAGGTGAATATATGTTGAAGAAAATATGGTCAAAGTGATCTCAGAGAAGACAGAATTGTGCCAGTAATTTAAGGCCTCCAATTGACTTTAATGACTGTTGTAATTATATAACAGTGAGACGGCCTCTATCTCTGGGTCTTTCCCTCCTGCAGGCTTTTTTCCTCCTTTTTTGTGTGCTCACTCTGCTGGTCCCTTTCATTGACTCCATTTGTACCTCGCTGTAATCGCTCTGTAGAGTTTGGCTTGTCCTTCCTACCTTGTCTTCCTTTCTTTGTCAATCATCTTTCCCTGCTCTTTCTATTCATGTCTGTACTGGTTAGTGGATTTCGTCATTCCACTCCATATGGTGGTTCTGTGATGGTCACATGACCTTGTTCGCCCTCATTAGATATGGATGTGTGAATGAGCATTGATTTTTATTGGGTGCTGTGATGCTTCCCAGAGGCGAGTCGTGAAAGCATCCCATCTAATACTGTGGCCTAGTGAAGCAGGGTTAATGCACTCAGGGTGACAGCGTTTGATGTGTTTTTTTTTTCCTTCAACAAAGGGCTGTCTGGGACAGCTATCAAGCAGATGATACAGGGCCAGGGACGTCTACTGAGGAAATTGCTGGTGTTGTCACAATCTCTGATGTGAATTGAGTTGTTTGCATCAGTGTTTGTCCTCATCACAGTGGAGGAAATATGATTAGGCTTGATGCAGCGGCTTGAGTGAGGGGTGTGAGGAAGACTGGTCGCTCAAGGTGCTACAGGCATCCCAGTGGACAGAGGTTAAAATGTTTGGACAGGGAGGACAGACTTTAAGCATCCCCTGGTAGTGACTAGCCTCATCAAAAAATAGCATGACAACCAGAGTAGATATTGCAACTGTTATATTCATTGAAATTTTCTGTTCCTGTTTTCTTTTCCTTTGACCAATTAAGTGGTGTCCAGTCCTCCTCCTGGAGGGCCACCTTCCATCAGAGTTTAGCTCGAACCGTTATTGAACACACCTAAACCAGCTAATTAAGGTCTGCAGGATTACCAGAAACTTCCAGGCTGGTATATTTGAGCTAATCTTTGCAAGAAAAAAAGGGCCATCATAGGCGCATTACCAAAGCAAACGTTGTTCCAAAAGGTCAATACATTAATCCTGCTGCTTCCATAGAAACCTAATTACCTTAAATTTTGAGATAGCATTGAATGTATCTTTCCCTGGGAAGGCAATTTCAGAACACACTGTGATGATCTCTGTGTAAGTAGCGCAAGGCACTATTTGAGTTGCTGTCTATGGAGAATGTTCCAAATTGGAAACTTATAAGGCTCTGTTTCACTTATGATGCTGGCATAGAGGGCAGATGCTTTTGTACCACAGTTTAGTAAACGTTGGCCACCTCTTTTATTCTTGACTGTGCTGTATTGACTGCTTTGATGTGTTGCAATACGGTAGGGCATTGTTTTGATGCTTACCTCCGAAAAAGATTTTTCTTTTTTCCTTTTTTTTTTTCTTGCTCCCCTTGACTCAAGAGTTAAATGTCGCCCATGTATCTATCCATTCTCCTGCTGCTTATCCAGGACTGGGTCACTGTGGCAGCAGGCTTAGTAGGGTCACCCACATGTCCTCTTCCCTGGAAACTTCCTCCTGTGGGGTCCCAATGTGTTCCCAGGCCAGCCTTGGTTTAACTTTGGGGCTCTTCCCAGTTGAACATGTCTGGAACACCTCCACCGAAAGGTGTCTGAACTACCTCAACTTGCTCCTTTTGACACAGAGAAGCAGAGTCTCTCCAAGATGTCCAAGCTCCATACCTGCCTCTAAGGGTTAGACCAGACACTCTGTGGAGAAAACTCATTTCAGTCTATCTTGTTCTTTCAGTCGCTACCCAAAGCTCATGACCATAAGTGAGGTAACCATGGGTGAAGATCGATTGGCAAATTGACAGCTTCTCATAACAACATGCTAACTTCAAGCTCTGCAAAGACCTGCCCCCCTTAGTTACTGTTGTCATGTCCGACAAGCCATGTCACTCCACACATCATGTTTTCATGTGAAAAATATATCGTAGAGCAAAGAGGAAACTGACCAGATGTCAACAGACAAGATAGAGCAGGTTACTTTAGGTATGAAACAAAGTCTCAACTTTCAAATTTTGTCATTTTTTAAAAAGAAATTCAAACAATAAATACCGTTTTGTGGCTCTTTAACGTGTCGTGACCGATCACTGTTCAAGCGGCACGTGAACCAATCATCTCTTCCTCTTTAGGGTCCCAATGTGTTCCCAGGCCAGCCTTGGTTTAACTTTGGGGCTCTTCCCAGTTGAACATGTCTGGAACACCTCCACCGAAAGGTGTCTGAACTACCTCAACTTGCTCCTTTTGACACAGAGAAGCAGAGTCTCTCCAAGATGTCCAAGCTCCATACCTGCCTCTAAGGGTTAGACCAGACACTCTGTGGAGAAAACTCATTTCAGTCTATCTTGTTCTTTCAGTCGCTACCCAAAGCTCATGACCATAAGTGAGGTAACCATGGGTGAAGATCGATTGGCAAATTGACAGCTTCTCATAACAACATGCTAACTTCAAGCTCTGCAAAGACCTGCCCCCCTTAGTTACTGTTGTCATGTCCGACAAGCCATGTCACTCCACACATCATGTTTTCATGTGAAAAATATATCGTAGAGCAAAGAGGAAACTGACCAGATGTCAACAGACAAGATAGAGCAGGTTACTTTAGGTATGAAACAAAGTCTCAACTTTCAAATTTTGTCATTTTTTAAAAAGAAATTCAAACAATAAATACCGTTTTGTGGCTCTTTAACGTGTCGTGACCGATCACTGTTCAAGCGGCACGTGAACCAATCATCTCTTCCTCTTTACTAGTTATAGCACAAAATAAACATGAATGAACATCAGAAGGTATCATAAAGACGTCAGTACACACCATTTTTCAATTTCAAGTCCACCAGTATTAATCTACTCTGCTGTCTGGTTTGTTTGTCGGACAAAATGGTGGATTCGGCATTATGATTGGTCAGATCGCCTGTCAATCAAGTTCCCGGTGAAGGGTCAATTCAGATGGCTACTTTTTGGAACTTCGTTTGCATGATTCCTTAAAATGCTACATACATAACAATGGCATTTTAAATCAGGTCAAATCCTAGTTTAGATCCTTCCTTTAATCTTGGTCTGGGTCTTAATGATTATTTTCGACCACAGCTCAGATTTAAGCCCACTTAGTCTTTCCTCTACTCACAATGGTACAGTATATTTAAAGCAGACATTGTAACTGGAAAAATTAGAAGCTTTGTCTGTTTCTTGTACATCTGTTTGGAAAAGCTAAACAAGGATTTACTATTCCAAACAGCCAGTCAGTTTTCCTGTCAATAACTCTTTAATAATGACCTTGCTGAAGGGCGGGGGGAAGGTACTTCCAACCAGTGGATGGGATTTTATTTAGGCTCTTCAGTGCTTTGTGTATTTAAATTTTTTTTTTCTAGCTGTATTTACATGCAAGTAGTTTTATCTCGTGCCAGCACAGCAGATATTCTCGAAACTGGCCCAACCACACAAACCCCAAATTCTCTCTTCCTCTCCTCTGTGTAAGTAGCGCAAGGCACTATTTGAGTTGCTGTCTATGGAGAATGTTCCAAATTGGAAACTTATAAGGCTCTGTTTCACTTATGATGCTGGCATAGAGGGCAGATGCTTTTGTACCACAGTTTAGTAAACGTTGGCCACCTCTTTTATTCTTGACTGTGCTGTATTGACTGCTTTGATGTGTTGCAATACGGTAGGGCATTGTTTTGATGCTTACCTCCGAAAAAGATTTTTCTTTTTTCCTTTTTTTTTTTCTTGCTCCCCTTGACTCAAGAGTTAAATGTCGCCCATGTATCTATCCATTCTCCTGCTGCTTATCCAGGACTGGGTCACTGTGGCAGCAGGCTTAGTAGGGTCACCCACATGTCCTCTTCCCTGGAAACTTCC